AGACTACTCCAGTGTTCTCCAATCCCAAACTAAGATCTGTACAATGATAATGTGGGCGTTCTGAATAGAAGTATGAAGAAAGAGCATAAGAAACTTTGAGTGATGTCCAGAGCAGCATTATTCATAATGGCCAAAAAGTGGAAATAGCCCAAATGTCCCTTATCCGATGAATAAATAAGTGGCATATCCACACAAATGGAATATTACTTGGCAATAAAAATATATGAAATTCTGATATATGCTGGAACATGGACAAACTTTGAAAACATTATGCTAAATAAAAGTCAGGCACAAAAGGCTGTATATTGTATAATTCTATTCATATGAAATGCCCAGAAGTGGCAAATCCACAGAGATGGAAAGTAGAATAATGGCTTCCTAGGGTTATGGGTACAGTGAAATGGGGTTATGGGTACAGTTTATTTGGGGGTAATAAAAATGTTCTAAAATTGATTGCTGTAATGGATGTACAACTCTATAAAAATACTAAAAACCACCGAATAATACACTTTAAATGGGTGAATTGTATGGTGTTGAATTATATCTCAATAAAGCTGTTTTTTAAAAGAAAGAGAGAAGGAAGGAAGGAAGGAGAGAGGGAGGGAGGGAGAAAGAAAGAAAGAAGAGAAAGAACAAATGAAAGAAAGAAAGAGAGAGAGAAAGAAAAGGAAAGGAAAGAAACAAGAAAGAAAGAAAGACTCTGAATGAGTACATGTGAGCTTTGGACAGCAGCAACCATCATTCAACAGACTTTAGGAAAGAAGAATTTGGAAAACTAAAAGAAACTCTATTTTTTTTAACTTTGACCTAGAGAGAGCCCTGCTGATAAGTCAGACACCCAAGTGTCTCTTAAATCAACTCCAACATCATCCTGGGCCTGTCTGCCCAAGGTTGCTAATGCTTCCCCAGCAGAAACACACACTGATCAAGCCAACCTAGAGTTTGCAGAGCACAGTGATTAGGGTTCGGTCTCTAGATCCAGGCAGAAATGGTTGATATTCTCACTCTCCTGCAGGCTGTGTATCTGTGTGACTTCAGGCAAGTCATCTTATTGCTCTTAGTCTCAATATCCAATGGAAATAATAAAAGTACCTCTCTTATAGTATCGTTGTAAGAATTAAATGATATTTTTTAAAAGGCAAAGCACTTATTGCAAAAGCTGGCAATTAGTGACTGCTTAGTTATTATAATTATAAGATGTTAGGAACATAAAGAGGGATGACTAGAGATTCCTATATATTTTATGGCACATACTCCAGCACTCCCCATGTATGCCCTTCCAGAGCAGTCAAATTGGAAAGAAAGAAGGGGAGTACATTCAAGAGAAGCATGTTTCCCCACTTTCCTCTCTCCCCATTTGGCACTTCCCCTGTGACAAATATTCCTGTCTTTGGGTGAAATCTGTTCTTGCTATCAAGAAGAAATGATAATGTTGCAGGAGCAGCTGCATTTCCACCCAAATACCAGACCCAATGCAGAACAACTGCTGTGTCATTACCCTTTTGTGAAATGAAACTCACCTGATGCCATCTAATGGCCTTGGTAAGCCTATAGAAAAAATCCCCCAAAAATGTATCTTACGAGTTTGGCATCAACAGTTAAACAAGCAGTTACCGCCAGATGACTAGAAGATTTTCTGAACTTGCAGACCTCATGTATTAGCAGGCAGACAGATATCCAGATACATTTGAAATCTCAATTTCAGTGATGTAATAAAAGCAGATACAATGTGCTATGGAGACACATATGAAAGAATGATTTGTTCTATTAGTAATGGAAGGCTTCAGATAGGAGGTGTCCTTTCATCAGGACTTGGAAGAATGAAGAGATGTTCTAAAGAGCCTGAGTAGCTTCACAGGTGTATTTCATATCTGGGAGTGGTTGCTAAAATGGGGAAGAGTCGGGGGGCAGGTAGATGTGCACAGGCTACAAAGGCTTTGACTGACAGGCCAAAAGTCTTGCACTTTGGCTGAGTACAGTGGCTCATGCCTGTAATCCCAGAACTTTGGGAAGCCAAGGCAGGTGGATCAGCCTTGCCCGTCTCTACTAAAAACACACACACACAAAATTAGCCGGCCATGGAGATAGGTACCTGTAAATCCCAGCTACTTGGGAAGCTAAGGCAGGAGAATTGCTTGAATCTGGGAGGCAAAAGTTGCAGTGAGCTGAGTTTGTGCCATTACACTCCAGCCTGGGCAGCAGAGAGAGACTCTGTCTCAAAAAAAAAAAAAAAGGTTTACATTTCATTTTATAATTAAAGGGAAGAGCCAACAATCTTGTGACAAAGACTGCTGGTACTCCTCCCAATATCCTTTTTTTTTCCTTCTTCCCTGGTAAGAAAATCCTTAGCTGACCACATTACCAGGCAGAATGAAGACTCTATTCCAGTCTCCCTTGGACAAATGAAAAGTTGACAGCAGAGGCAGTACAGAGGACAGCTTGGGGAGGATGATATTCCATACACTAGAACACACAGTTATCCATCTCCCTTCTAGCAAAGGCCAATCTCTCCACCTCCACTGGGAGATGCACTCCCCTCATCTTCTTAGTTATCCTTTATCTCTCTTATGAAATCAATTGTTTGCCTTTCATGGGATCATTATCATATATTTACAAGTGTCTTCCAATATCTGTACTCACTGAAAACAAGGACATTTCATACCCACTTCTAGTGCTGCCCCAATCCCTGCTCCCATAAATAGCCAGATTTCTTGAGTTTTAAATACATGTTTATTCCACTTCCTCATTTTCCATTCTCCCTTTAGCCGATTACTATCTTCTGAACTCAGTATGTCACTAAAACTAAAGAATGAAGTTACCAGAGACTTTCGTGTGCCAATATGCTTCTCTGTTTCTGCTCTCTTCCCACTTGATCTCTGCTGTCACACTTGCTCATCTTACACACTCTTCTGGCTTTCTTCCTACCTGTCTGGCTGCTCCTACTGTCACCTTCTCCTTTGCCTGACCTCTTAGTGTTGGAGTTCCTCAGAGCTGAGTCCCGGACATCTTCGTTTTTCTCTACGTAGTCTCCCCAGAATGATCACAACTACTTCCTTGGCTTTAAATACCTTCCATAAATGACGATGACTCCAAGACTGGTATCTCCAGCCCAGCTCCCTTCTCTGAGCTTCTCTCCAGTGTATTCACCTCCATGTAAACGTCTCAGGTATTTCAGACCTATCATGTCCCAAATTACACCTTCAATTTATAAGCAAAACAAAACAAAACCATGTCTGTCTTTCAGTGTATCATTCTCCTTTACTGAAGATAAAATTCTAGATGTTATCTGTGGTAGACATGGAGGTGCAACATTCACGCCTCCCTTCAAGAAAACCTGCTTTGAAGGTATGGTTGATGAACAGCCTGCAGGAACCCACCTTCAGAAACATCCAGGTGTTCACTCATGAGGCTAGGGGAGGCTCCCGGGATGATTAAATGCAGTAGGAGAACTAGAGCCAGGTGGTTTCATCATGAGACCTCTCTAACGGGCAACCTTGGTTCAGGAACTCCCCATAAGCCTATCCAAAACTTTCTCAAAAGTGCAGAGGTCTTAAGCTCCTCCTATGCAATCCTTCCTTTCTCCCCCATCTCTTTTCGCAGGTAGCAGACCTGCATCACAGTCTAAGTAAGGTCTCCCCACCAATCCATGCTAGGTCTCTGTAAATACGTGTGAACAAATGAATCCAAAATGAACAAAAGCACCTCATTCAAACACTCCTCTAAATCAGCATAACTTTTAAAAGGGCCTTTACAATTTTTCTGTTGTGGAGCTGTGTTTTCTATTAAACTCCGTGGAAGAGAAGGACAAGGTGGCCTCCAGGGCAAACACCCAATGGATATCTCCTGACACATCACAGGAGGGGGCATGAGGGCAGCAACTGACTACTATCTCCACATCTGTTGGAAACTATGGATTGGATTCAAGGGTACAAAAAATTATCACTCTTGCAATGTTCACTCCAGAATCTCACTACACATGAAACTGATTAAAATGAATAAAGAAGGAATGTCCAGCAAATTGATTTAACAGTGAAGACATTGGGTGTGATACGTTTTCTGAGGAGGCCAATGGCTCTTCCATAGGTGGGAATTACCTAAATTAATTTTCTTTTCTCATAGGTAACCTCTGCAAAGGGCAGAGATGACTTCTTTGGTAACTTCTTGGAGTGGGAAGCCATCAATAAGACATAGCACATATGGAATTACTGAAAGCAAAGCAGCTTTTCATTAGAAGAAAATTCTGTTATCTCTGAAAAACCTATGCACACAACTAACGCCTGGCTATTAAAGTCATGGGTCTTTCTTGTAAAGTACCACCAATTCTTGGCGGCAACTTCGTGATTCTTTTTTTTTTTTTCTTTTCTTTTCTTTTCTTTTGAGATAGAATCTCACTCTGTCACCCAGGCTGGAGTGCAGTAGCACGATCTTGGCTCACTATAACTTCTACCTCCTAGGTTCAAGCAATTCTCCTGCCTCAGCATCCTGAGTAGCTGGAATTACAGGTGCACACCACCATACCCAATTAATTTTTGTATTTTTAATAGAGATGGGGTTTCACCATGTTGGTCAGGCTGGTCTCGAACTCCTGACCTCATGATCCACCCGCCTCAGCGTCCCAAAGTGCTGGAATTACAGGTGTGAGCCACCGCAACTGACCTACTGTGATTCTTAAAAGGAAAGAAACTCTTCCCTATGCCTAATTTGCAAGCTTATTAAATGTTTACACAGCAAGAGAAAAAAAGGTTTGCCTAATTCAGAAGGAGCAAGTAAAAACCAAATAAGTACTATATTTAGCTGAACTTCTTAGGTCCATAACTATGAAAAGGGGAATCTAATTCAGAAGAAACCCTGAGTTTTTAGCTTGAGAAAATTCAAATGTTAGCTCCTCAAAGGCCTTCCTTGACTTCTCAGTCTAAATTAACTGCAAATCTCACTAACACCACCAACCCTAACCAGTAACTCAATTCAAAGTCCTGCCTTGTTTTCTTCATAGCACTTACCATGATCTAAGACTGTCTCTCTCACATCTTCCACCACTGAAGGCTAAAACCCAAGAGAGCAGAGACAATTTCCATGTTGCTCAATTCCATCGTCAACTCCTTGTAGATTACCTGGTTCATGGTAAATACACAATAAATATTTGTTGAATGCATGAAATCAACAACGCCACAACAATCAATGACTTCAAGGCGTACATCACTGAAAACTTTCACATTGCCAACAGAGTTTTAGATCTCAAGAGACTTCCAATTTTCATTTGATTCCCAGCAACACGTTTGAACCCAAAATTAAATTTGTCACTCCAAGTGATTCATCCATTCCAACCAATCACATCGGCACCAACACATGACCAGTGGACACACAGGTGTGTAGAATGTAATTCCCACAGCAGGCCTACTGATTTCAAGCTAGTTCCTTAAGGAAAGGATCACTTCTTTTCTTTTCTTTTGTATGTTTTTAAGTGAAAGTAAGTTTATTGGAGAAGCAAAGAAACAAAAGAATGGCTCCTCCACAGGCAAAAGCAGCAGTGTGGGCTACTCAACTAATGAAACTTACAGTTATTTCTTGAATATCGCTAAACAAGAAGTGGATTATTCATGAGTTTTCTGGGAAAGGGGTGGGCCATTCCCATAACTGAAGGTTCCTCCCTCTTTTAGACCATATAGGGTAACTCCTGACATTGCCATGGTATTTCTTAACTGTCAGGGAACTGGTGAGAGTGTCTTTAGCATTCTAATGTATTATAATTAGCATATAGTGAGTAGTGAAGACAAGCAGAGGTCTCACTTTCACCACCATCTTGGTTTTGGTGGGTTTTAGCCTGCTTCTTTTTTTTTTTTTTTTGAGACGGAGTTTCGCTCTTGTTACCCAGGCTGGAGTGCAATGGCGCGATCTCGGCTCACCGCAACCTCTGCCTCCTGGGTTCAGGCAATTCTCCTGCCTCAGCCTCCTGAGTAACTGGGATTACAGGCACACACCACCATGCCCAGCTAATTTTTTGTATTTTTAGTAGAGACGGGGTTTCACCATGTTGACCAGGATGGTCTCAATCTCTCGACCTCGTGATCCACCCGTCTCGGCCTCCCAAAGTGCTGGAATCACAGGCTTGAGCCACCGTTAGCCTGCTTCTTTATTGCAACCTGTTTTATCAGCAAGGTCTTTGCTGCCTGTATCTTGGGCTGACCTCTTATCTCATCCTGTGACTAAGAATGCCTAACCACCTGGGATCACTTCTTTTCATATATGAGTTGACCGCTTAGTAAAGCATGAATGCATAGCTCACATTCCATTTAGACTGTGCAAAGTGCTTTCTCCACTAAATATACTAATTTGACCTAGACACTCTGAGAGGTGGTAGATTAATAAATAGATTCAGTTAGTTGTGTTTTCCCTTAGAATGACAATTCTGTGGTTAAAGGGAGAGAGGGAATATGAAGAGGAGCAAGATGGGCTTCATTCATGTACTCAGTATACAGGATACAATCAAGACCTCTGTGCACTTTTGGATAAAAGAGAACAAATTAAACTGGCCATGATATGGAAATAATTATGCACGACATATGAGTCAGAATGTTAGTTACAGGATCTAAATGTGTTAGAACTCCTTGATTTGGTGGAAAGAACTAAAGTCTACTGTCAGAAACAGGAATCAAAGCTGCAGCAATATTGTTGTATGTAGCAAGGACTCTCAACTGTTATTGTAATACTTTTGCGACTTTAAATTTAGATTTAGAAAAAATCTAGCTTGGCTTTAAATTGTTATTTTTTTCTGTAGAGTGTTTAATTTACATCTTGCTAGTGGAATGAATGGCCACCAGGCACTGAAAGATCTTCCCCAGGCGGCACCAGTCCGACAGAGCCAGGGAGACCACGAAAGACAATGTAACAATCGTAATTATCTTTGACTCTCGAGCTCCTAGCCTGTGAGTGCATGCCACTCCTCAAAGTCCAAGTCCTTTCCATTCACTCCAGGGGGCTCCCATACTCTCCTAGTTCTTTGTTGGAACTTTCTGCACCATCCTCTGGTAACCTGTACTCCAGCAATTTCTACTTCAATCACGCTGGTCCTCTCTTTCTGGACTCCTCTCTTTTCTCACTTACTCATGCTTAGAGTTCACCAATCTGTAGCTTGGTCCTCTCCTCCTTAGTCTTTAGAGTTAATCTTACTAGGCCCCAAATGGCATAATTCTCCATTTGTTTTTATACCCCTTCCTACTGAGAGGATCTGAGGTCAGCTTCCTTCAGGTTGAAATCAGACACTTGGGTCATACACACAAAAGTATCCCTCCCCCCAAAATAATCAGTATCCTAAACTGAAGTACATATCTTTTCAATAGTCTCTTACACCAAGGTGAGTTTTCTTACTACTTAGGGTGCTTCTAGAAGTTCCTGAATCCCCAGAATCAAAGGATCAGTTCTACAATTATGTCCCCATTTTCCTAGAAGCCCGCATCCAAACGTCCTGATCTCACAGCATTCCGCGAGTATGTGAAGATTAGGCTTCCTCCTACCCTACACCCTACCATCCTTTTCTCATTAAGGTGAAACTCTAATGTAGCCTGAACTTGGTGCCTTTGAAGCAAATGGAGGTAAAAAAATGTAAAGCTCGTATTAGCAGCCTAAAGCTCCTTGTTTATTGCAGAATCTGACATGAAGAAGAGAAACATCCTACTGGTGAAAAAGAAAAGAAAAGAAATAAACTTAAGTCAGTGACTTGGTCTTCAGTAATACAAAAAAAAAAAACTGACCATGAATCAGCTAACATTTAGGACTTCTCTGTAGGAGTCAAATATTTCTCCCAAATAGAGAGGTCAGTAGGCTCTCTCATGTAACATCTATTCTATCAACTGGAACATTTTGCTCTTTAGTAGAATAAAGCTTGTAAATAAAGCTAAGCTCTGAGTTGTTTCCTAAGGGGAAGATCATGCAGCCTGCTTTAGTGGAATGTCAAGACGTAAGGGGAAAAAAAGACATCATCAATAAACAAATGCACAGAACTGAATTGTTACATTCTTTTTTGTGGACAAACCAGTCTTTATTTTGAGTTGTATGTTAGGAAGTCACTGCTTCTCCTCTTCATAATTAACTTGGCGGTTGGAGGCTACCATTTGTTAATGGCATCGAAGAATCTTTCTGTACATTTCCCCTGCTGTGTACTCATGGCGTAACATTTGATTACATTCCATTTGTCTCATGTACATTTGTACTTGGTAGATCGTGGAAGGTGGGAGAAGACCCAGCAGTCATACAAAGCGCAACACAAAACTCAGAGTATTTACCTTGCTCAGTTATAAGTGAGCTTACTGCCTTCAATAGCTCCAGGAAGCATAATAATGCACTTACTCCATTAGGCCCGGAAAATGCATTTCCTTGCTTCCTCACACAAACAGATTTGGTAAATTCAAAGAAAGGAAAATGGATCTGCCCCACACCCTAAAAGACTGTGATTTTTATTTCATTCATATTCATTTCCCAAAGAGACATGTAAATAAAGGATGGGGATAAGAATATAGCTTGATAAAAATCAAATGTCAAATGGGCATAGTATGTTAATAAAGCCTTGGACAAAATTAACACGAGATACTCATCTGGTTTGACCTTTGTTTCTCAATTGAATTGCTGTTATTATTCTATTGAGGGACTCCCTTTAGAAGGCTGGTTACTATTGCAGTACCATAATAGCTTAGGATTTCATATTTAAGAATTCCAAGGCCCATGTGGAAGAGTAGACTGCTCTTTGGAATTTCACTTAGAAAGAAATTTACACTTAAATTGCCTTTAAATGTTTTCTCTGAAGTTTTTTTCTTTGTTGTGAGGTTGAAATTAAATACACACAAAGGAATATTTTTGTTACTGAGTTGATTTTTTTAAAGTGGCTGATGGCCAACTAATGTAGGTACAAAGTGGCAGCTCTCTATGTCACTATTTGGGCTATGCTCTAGGCCTTCGAATTTCACAGGAAATAAGGACTCTAATTAACCTCCAGCTCTAAAGGAGTTCCTACAGACCTGTTTGTGGCAACCGTGTTTCTTGGAACTTAATGTTCTTTTAAATCTCACCCCACCCACACCACTGCTTCACTGCATAATGTAATTCTTTCAGTCTTTACCCTGGGCACCCATTAAGCAATCTAACTCCTACAGTTAGAATCTCACCAAAAGGAAGAGGAGAAGAGAGAGAACAGAGAGAAGGGGAGGGGAGGGGCAGGGAAGAAAGGAGGGGAAAGAAAAGAAAGGAGAAGGAAGGCTATAAACTCAAAAGAATTTGACTTTGCATGACAGATCTAATGATGAAATAATGAACATCTTTTATATTTTACACTATGCTAGACTAAAATTTCTAAATGGAAAATATGTGGTTTTGTTTTTTAGTTTTCTTTTTGGAGCCCTGTCTAAGTCATGCAATAATCACTGGCCCTTACAAAGTATCCATCTCTCCAAAGATAGGTCATTAAATATTTTGGAAGTAAACTTTTAGTTGGCATCTTTCAAAACACTTATTTCCAAAAATCTTCAGGCTAGAATTGCAATTGTCTGGAACCCAATCTGTTGGTAAATGAAACCTCAGAGCCTTCAGTCTTAATAGTGAAATGGACTGAAAGGCAGATAAACTGACAGCTGGCTCATTTCTTGCTTTGCGATGTAAATCCACTTTAACATAACTGGCTTGCACCCTAGGCTTCAGAGTGATGGCTCCGCCTAGAAACCAATCTAAGTGGATAATCTTATAGGATGTTTCCATAGTGGCAAAGAATGAGACCAAGCCCTCCAAGATTTCCATAGGTAATCTAATGGAAAGACAAGGAGTGTTATTATTTAATGAATTGGCTCCTTGCCCAAATCAGTCAGTCCATCTATGCCTCAGTTTTCCCATACTGGAAATGAAGATATCTAATAGCTTGTTCGTTTGTGGGGAAGAATGAATCTCTGGTCTTTCTCCTGAACAAGTCAATTGCAGTATTAGGTCATATATGTTAAAAGAAGCATTCAACAAATGTGAAAGCACTGAAAGAAATAATAATACGCCTGCAAGATTTACTATACCTTTCTAAGAAGTGGACTTGTACAATAAGATAAAAATAGTAAGGCTACCATTTAACCATCTTTACCTA